TGATTCTATGACTTTAATAATGACGAAATTATTATCTCACAAAACATCCCATTCTGTGGCCTTTTCACTGCAGACGGAGAATGGGATGTGAATGAGACAGCCATCTCCAAGAAAGGTGGGTAGAATCCCATGGATCTATTTCCCAATTTATTACCAAATGTTTGGTTTCCTAAGCAATTCACTAGTTGAATCCTTCTCAAAACCTGGGAAATTTTTCTTCCGTTTACTACAAACGGCTAGTGGGCAAGCTTAATTGATTACTTAGGAAACTGACCTAACTTTGGACAAATCGTCTGGCTGTGAAACGAACAGGTATTAGCCCACCCAGGGAACTGTTTTCTCTTCTTTGGGTTTCTGCATCCCTACTTCCCTCTTCGGCAGGTTTTGCTGCATGATTTTAGGGGAACGGGAGCTTAGCCCAGGAGCTTAGGTCAGGAAGTCCAGGAGACTCAGCTAACTCCCTCACTTACTCTTCTTCCCTTTGCTGCAGGAAAGTCATCAGCACAAGCCCACTGAGAACTTCTTCCTACCTCTGATGTATCAGAAAAAAAAGTTAAGATCTGGGCTGAAACCAGTCTTCCCTGTGACACTGTTGGAGGACCCTAAATCCAAGAGAGAACAATGGTTTAGGTGAAGTCCTGGCTCTTTCTTACCTTTTCCTTATTCTTGTCACTATCTCTTTTCAATATGATTTAACAAACACTTTTCGGTTGTACGGAATGTGGACAACTGTATAATAATAGGACAGCTTCCCTACATGATCCCCAACCACACTTCTACCTTAGCAACAGAGAAACAGTAATGCAAAACTAAAGTTTTTCACAAGAATGATTTTCAAGAGTGAAGAAAAGTATTCAAAGGTCCATGCTTTGAGGAAGCAACAAAAAAAAATTTCCCTCGGTGCCTGTTAAGGGTTGTGATATAGGAACAATTTGCTATGTATGAGATTTGATTTGAAACTGGTTATAGGAGCAGCTAATATCTTGTTTGGAGAGGAGAGAGGAGATTCTGGAGTTCCTTCATAGGTTTACAATGCTAGGTTCTAGAAGCATCCCTTCCACTGAACAATACTCCCACTCTGTACCAATGAACACCCTCAAATCCTACTGTCCTTTCTTCTCCCCCAGAATCTGAGAATGCAGTGAGTGGTTCCATTAATCCCTCACCCTAGGATCTACTAAATGAACTTTCTTTGTTAAGGTTTTCCACGGACAAGGATTTCAAGAGTGAAGGGAAGTATTCAAAGGTCTGTGCTTTGAGAAAACAGAAAAAAATGTACCCTCAGCTCAACTTTGCTCCAGTCTGTAAAAGAGATCTGAGGAGTGACAGTAAGGTCCTCTCTATCAAAACAATGGTTTATGGGATGGAGATGTGGGCAGGAGGGACAAACTACGGGGACGAGAGATAAGGGCAAATCTCTCTTGGAGGTTCTGGAGACTAGCTTTCCTTTTAGCATGGAAGCCAAGAACTGATAGAGGCCCAAGTGGTGCTAGGCTTTCCACCCTGTTTCAATCCTCACATTTCAAGAAAGCTCTAGCATAGTGTTTTCCAAACTACATCACCTACCACTTTACTAGTTTTGGTCAATGAGTTATTTGCCCTGTTATTTACTTAATGCTTTTCTTTTAAATTATTTTTTTTGTCCTAATTAATACTATATCATTGACATCATGGGTTTGATATACTAATCACATGGGGTTTTTTTCTCTTATACATTTCTCTCAAACATTTAATCAAATTCATAATAATTACATTTTAAAAATTAATTTATTTTGGCTGTGTAGGGTCTTCGCTGCTGAGTGCGGGCTTTCACTAGTTGCGGCGAGTGGGGGCTACTCTTCGTCGCGGTGTGAGGGCTTCTCCTTGTGGTGGCTTCTCTTGTCACGGAGCATGGGCTCTAGGCGTGCGGGCTTCAGTAGTTGTGGCACGAGGGCTCAGTAGTTGTGGCTTGCGGGCTCTAGAGCACAGGCTCAGTAGTTGTGGCGCACGGGCTTAGCTGCTCCGCAGCATGTGGGATCTTCCCAGACCAGGGATCGAACCCATGTCCCCTGCATTGGCAGGCGGATTCTCAACCATTGCGCCACCAGGGAAGTCCCATAATAATTAAAATTTAAAATGTTTATCTATGTATCACCTAAAACTACCCAGTGGTATGCATATCACACTTCGAGGAAAACTGTTCTAGAAGGGCCAAAGGATAAGCTATGCGTCTCAGAGGTCCATGAGTCTCTTTGGGGTTGAGGCAGGACATGGCGTGGAAGAGGTTGGGGATAAGGTTGTAAGGAAGGGGTACAACAAAAATGCTCCTCACAAATTGTCATTAATTTAGCAACATTTACGGGGCACTTAGTCGTGTTGGATATTTATCAACCACCAATAATAATAGCACTTTCCATATGTAAGACAGATGGATGGGCCAGGTCATGAAGGGCTTTGTATATTTGTATAAATAAGGGCTTAGGTTTTATCCAGCAGGCGGTTGGGACCCACTGAAAAATTTCAGAGCACTGAACACACATTTGTGTATTAGAAGTATAATCGATGGCTCCCCAGACTTCACCAGCCTATGGCTCCAAGATAAGGTTCATTTCTCCCACGGGACTGCTCTCCTCGAGCAGTTTCTGGAACTCCCTAAGGTATGCTTCTCTGTTCTACAAGGCCATCCTAGCGATTGCCAGCCCTCCTCAGCTCAAAGAGTCACAGTTCCAGAGGTATGAGGTCATATCGTACCATCCCTTACCTGGCTTCTTCAAGTGTCTCTGCTCCTTCTGTACCTATCTGCCGCACCACCTGACATCCCTCCTGCCTCTCTTAACTCCCCATATACAGCTAAAACCAAGCTGTGATATTAAATAACACTTCATAGATGTGAAGAAAAATTAAAGGATGGCAGAGAGTCATTTATCTTGCTTTAAAAGGGGACACTCTTAGGCTCAGCCTCAACCCCCCCTCAGTCCCTTCATACTTCCCAACAGGCCCCCAGCACATTATCCATTCTTGGGAGTCTCTTGGCTTACCAGCACTGTCTCTGCCTAGGCTCCTAATACCCTTGGCCCAAGGAAGGGGAAAAGGTAGCTCCTTCCCCTAAGCCTGTTTATTTTCAGCCCCCAGAATAAATCAGTAGGAACATCTATTTCCTTCAAGGGAAACTCCACATGGAAAGCAAGCTTTGAGCTTTATAAGCCAGATAAGGCAAACATAAAATAGTACATTTAGTCAGAGCTAAATCTTAAATGATACCATACGCAGGATATCAGCAGTTCAGCTTAAATCCATATTGAAAGGAAGAATTTCTCCAGTCTAGAATCTAATCTGGATTAGAATTTCTCTGATTTTTCAAGGGCATGATTCTGTTAAGGTATCTCAGTTTACATTTCTAAACAGAACACTTAACATCTCAGTCTGCAGCATTTATTAGAATTATGGTGACTTTACAGTTTCCCTCAAGAAAAATGAGTGGATATTTACTTATGTATCTAAAGGGCCCATTATTGTGCTTTTCCTAAACAAAGACAATCCACTGTGAAGTTGAAACAGTGTCTCTACTTCAAGTAAAAGAGAACCTAGCAACTCCTCCTTCCATCAATAATTTTCCATGTTTACCAGGCATCCAAATAAAGAAAGATTACACAGAGAATTGCTTGCTTGGTAAAAGATTACCAGGCCATGAAGGCTGGTTAGGAGGCTGTCCAAGAAACAAACAGATAGGACCTGAATTAAGGTGACAGCAGTAGGAATAAGAAAACAAATTTTTTTTTTTTTTTTTTGCGGTACGCGGGCCTCTCACCGTTGTGGCCTCTCCCGTTGCGGAGCACAGGCTCCGGACGCACAGGCTCAGCGGCCATGACTCACGGGCCCAGCCGCTTCCCGGCATGTGGGATCTTCCCGGACCGGGGCACGAACCTGTGTCCCCTGCATCGGCAGGCGGACTCTCAACCACTGCGCCACCAGGGAAGCCCAAGAAAACAAATTTAAGGGATATTTACAAGGCATAATACTTCAAAATGGGGGGGGGAGGGATGGGAGCAAGAAGAGCCCACAACGGAGGGGTCCAAGAAGGGCAGAAGTTGAAAGAGAATCTGGAAAAAGTGATGACAGTGAAGCCAAAGGTAGAAACAGTTTCTTAGTTACACTCTCGTACAGGAGAACTGAAAAGGCTAAGAGGAATATGAATACACAAGTGAAAGTTCCTTCACTTAGTTAAGCGTTATGTAAGCGTCAAAATGGCCACAGATGGAATCGTTTGAAAGGGGTGGGATTAAATAGGGAAGACCCTAAACTGGTGGGTGTTGATGAAGGGAAGAATTATAAAGAAGGTTGGAATGATAGTCCGTGGTCCAAAACCTATCCTCCTGCTCAGAGTAAAGAGCAGCTTTCTCGGCCCTCCAAGCGGGTCTCTTTTTACGTCTCACATTAAGTGTCCTAAACCCTCTGGAAATCCACATTCACGAAGGTGCCCTGTGCTTTGTTGCAGTCTCCAAGAAGTCAGGGAGCGACCTGCCAACTTCCCAGATGATTTGGGAACCATTAACCCTTTCATCACTCCTGGAGGAGAAGCCCACCAGAACCGCGCCAGGAGAGAGCGCGTTCCGCAACGGAAGGGCCCAGCAGTGGATTATAAAAAACGCCAGTGTCATTAAATGAAAACAAGCCCTACATGCCCCTCGCCTCATCTCCAGAGACTGAGCGGCCTGGAGAAGTCGCCATTTAGGGCATGCCAACCAAATAAAATCTCATTCTGCCCTCTCCGGGCGTGGGCTGCCGGGTCGCTTGCAGGGTGGGCCGTGGTGAGCCCCCTGCTGCGACCTGTCACCGTAGGGGCGGGGACGCGGCCCAGGGGAGCCCACCCTTGGCCCCGCCTCCGCCCGGCTTGGGGAGGAGGAGAGGGCGTGGCCACGTCCCCTGGGGTTGAGAGCGGTCGGCGACTGCCGGGGAGGGCGGGCCTTCTCTCCGAGTGACGGGACCGCGGCCCAACCGGCGCCAGAGCACGGGGCCGACCTTCCTGCAGCTTCTTCCGCTTGCTGGCTGCGGCGCCTGGGACGGTGGCGGTGGGCTTGGGCGCTGGGAAGTCGTCCAAGATGATTAAAAAATTCGACAAGAAGGACGAGGAGTCTGGTACGCGCGGGGCGTCTGACGCCCACCCTCAGCCGCGGGGTCCCCTTCCCCTGCCCGCCGCCACCTGCTCTCGGGGACTGCGGACCTGGGGGCGTGGGCGCCGGTGTGCCGGCGGGCCGGAGTTGGAGCCCAGCCCCTCCTCCGACCCACTCCTCTCCAGCCGGGGGCCTGCCCCTAGCCCCTCCCCCGGGCGCCGGAGCCTCCCCTCAAGTCGCGCGCGAGCGCCCGGGCGCTCGCGCGCAGCCTCGGGCTGCTCGGCGGCCCCGCCCCCAGCCCCCTCCTCCGGCTCAGCTCCTCGGAGCCACCTGCTCCAGTTCGCCAGGCCTGGGCTGCCCACCAGAGTCCGGCCCATGGCAGGTGGCGGAGGTAGTGAGTGTGCGCTTGCGAGAGGCGGGGTGGGGTGGGGTGCTGGTAGTGCAAGGCCCACGGTGGGTCTGGGATTGACGGGACTGAGTGTGTTTGTGAACTTTGTGGTGTCTGTACCTTGCAGTCTCCCCGGGGACCTCTGCTTTGTCCACTTCCGTGCGGGCAAGCCTGCTCCGTGGTACCTAGCTCGTTTAATACTCAAGCATCCAAAAGTGAGTTGCATCTTGATAGCCGTCTTTGGTCCAGAGTAAATGAGGAAGATGCCAAGTCACCTCAAAAAACAAAAACAAACAACCCCCCCCCCAAAAAAAACCCCTCAGTGATTGATAGCTGCTCTAAGTGTGGTCGAGGGTTGGGTTAGTAAACCTCTGTGGCCCCTTCCAGCTTGACGTTATCTAATTCTCTGATAAACTCCTCACAGTAAATGTTAGAAACACATAAAATAGTGCTTTCCTTTAGGGAAATCCAAAGGACCTTACCACAGTCTCATTAATTTTAGTTGTATGGACATGGCAGATATTTCTAACATTCATATAAAAAGAAGGCAGGGAAAGAATACACTCATTTCAGGCAGGGTTTCTGCAAAAGAGAAGTACAGGATCTTGCAGGATAGCAGACAGAGCTAGTGTCAGAATCAGAAGGATTTTAATCAGTTTGTATGCATATTAGTAATGATTATCCCTGTGAAATCCAAGTGGTCACCTCACTTGGGTGAGATTTCCCAAGCATTCAGTACCCTTCTGTAGAAAGTAAGTTTGTGTAGGACAACTATTAAAGACATTTTTTTTCCCCCCGTAACATAGGTAGTGGCTCCAATCCTTTTCGGCACCTGGAGAAGAGTGCTGTCTTACAGGAGGTATGGCTTGGAAGTATAGTGTGTTTTTTTCTTTTCTATTCCATTTTAGAATGGGGGACAAAGAGCCCCGGAATGCTCTGATACAAAATAAGAATTAAGGAATGCAACTGAGTTCAAAGAATATATACTTGAGGGAAAAAGAAGAGGGGTTACTTGTCATAGGAGAGTCTAGAGCTTATAGAAATGCAAAAATATGTAGACTCTGTCACATGTTGAGAATTTTAAATAAAACACCAAAGGAGGTGTTTAGTGCAAGGTTATCGAAGGAAGTTATAGATATTAAGCCTATTGTATTCAAATGATGTAGGTAAATATTGTGATTCTTACTTAATAGATAAAGCCCACAAGTTGAAGTAGCAGACCTAAGGGAGTGAATAGTATAGAATGGAAAACCTAGGCCACATCTAATAATTTATTATATAACATAATAAGTTGAAAACTGTAAGCAACATTATTTGGATACTGTGATTAAAATGTATAATAGTCTTTATTTAAGTTGATTTTCTGTAATCTGTGATAGCAAAGATAGAAAATATATATAGCAATGTTTTCTGTTTCCACAGGCTCGTATATTCAATGAAACGCCCATCAATCCAAGAAGATGTTTGCATATTCTTACAAAGATTCTTTACTTATTGAACCAGGTAAATTATTTTGATTTTCCTCAGATTTGTGTCCTGGAATAGAAATACATAACATGCAGTGAAGTACTTTCTGGCAAGTGTAATTATTTATTTTTTAAAAATTCACTTAATTTTAAAATTTACGGTGTTTGATTAACATAATAACATGTAAAATTTCTTGAGGACGAGGAGTATGACAGACACTTCTTTTTTATTCATGAGGTACCAAATCAGCTAAGCACATGGTAGGATCTCAACGTTGATTTGAATTTAACAAGTATTAGTTAATATTAAAACATGTTGTTTAGATATGTTCAGAAAATAAAAATATATTGCAAAATCTTACACAAATTCCAGATAGATATTTTATCCTTTTGGGGGGAGTATATTATATTACTATTTTAAAGCTTTGATTTTAATATTCAAATTTTATACAGGCATACCTCATTTTATTATACTTTATTGCATTTTTTTTTACAAATTGAAGGTTTGTGGCAACCCTGCATTGTTAGATGATGGTTAGCATTTTTTTTAGCGGTAAAGTATTTTTAAATTAAGGTATGTACATTGTTTTTTTTTCAACGTAATGCTGTTGCACAGAATAAACTACAGTATAGTGTAAACATAACTTTTATACGCACTGGGAAACCAAAATATTCCTGTGACGTGCTTTATTGCAGTATTCACTTTATTGCTGTGGTCTGGAACTGAACCCACAGTATCTGCAAGGTATGCCTGTATTTATTTTCCCTACTCCACCACTAGCAGTATGATTCTGCGCTTAATTGTTTTGTACCTTAATGTCTTTTTCTGTAAATGGGGATTATGCTAATACCTGTTTTATAAAGTTATAATGATTAAATGATACAATAAATGTGAAGTACTGTGAATAGTCCTGGACACATAGTAAACATTCAGGAATAGTTTTCATTCGGTCATATAGCATATATATTTATTACATACCTGCTGCGTTCTATGCACTGTTTTAGGCACTGGGGACGTAGCAGACAAAACCAACAAAAATATTTGCACTCATGAAACATAGATCCCACTTGCACTTTTTTTTCTTTTTAAATTAATTAATTTATTTTTGTCTACGTTGGGTCTTCGTTGCTGTGCACAGGCTTTCTCTAGTTGCAGCGAGCGAGGGCTGCTCTTCATTGTGGTGTGCGGGCTTCTCATTGTCGTGGCTTCTCTTGTTGAGGAACACAGGCTCCAGGCGCACAGGCTTCAGTAGTTGTGGCGTGCCGGCTCAGTAGTTGTGACGCGCGGGCTCTAGAGCGCAGGCTCAGAAGTTGTGGCGCACGGGCTTAGTTGCTTCGCGGCATGTGGGATCTTCCCAGACCAGGGATCGAACCTGTGTCCCCTCTATTGGCAGGCAGATTCTTAACAACTGCACCACCAGGGAAGTCCCCCACTTGCTCATATCGTTATTTATTTAATTTTTTTTTCTTGTGTGTGGTTTTATTTTTTTGTTTGTTTCTTGTGTGTTTTTTTGGTTTTTTGTTTTTTTTTGCTTCAGACTAAAAAATCTCATGATTTTTAGTCTAGGGCCTTAGAAAATGTGAGTCTGTTTCTTAGATTCACACACACACACACACACACACACACAAACACACACACCCCTACCTCAGGTGGTTTACATATGGTGCTTAGAAGACTGTGGTTTCCAATCTGAATTCCATGAGAATATTTTTACTTTACTATGCTTCATGACTGAAGACCTCATCCAGAGACATGAAGTTTTGTAGCTTGCAAATGGAGGCAGAGCAACAAGAACATGCTTTTAAATAAAATATATCTATTCACAAACATATATTTTCATGTGGTATTATATTAGAAACATTTAATGCAAAGTCAGTTTGATTTAACTTTTCATAGCATATATTGTGTCCAAGTTGGGGAACTCCAGTCTATAAGCAGAATTTTGAGTAGTTAAAGTTGGTTCAGAGTAGCATGTATTTTTACGTTGACCAATACTGCTTTGATGGGCAACTCATGTTGAAACATATAATTATCTTGATAAGGAAGTTACCCACACAGTCTGATAAACACAGTCAACTAGGTGAACAGATTTGGGAACTTTAACTTTATCTTTTGCCTAGTTCTTGGTAGTGCTTTATGGAAAAATACTTCTAAGTTTCTACTAGAGTTGACATATCCGTATATTCTCTGAGTTTCAAGTCAAAAAGTAGGGACTTAGGATTTACTGTACTAGTATGACTGACAAGTAGATGGGCGTCTGTATGTTCTCTAAATATGAAAGAAAGTAAGGGAAATGTCTTGATGATGAGCAAGCTGGGTACTCTGACTTAAGTAATTGTAAACTCTTATACTTTGTCTTTCATCCTAAACTTTCAGGGTTTTTCATCAAAATTTGTTTATTCTTACACCTATGACAAATAGATTGACTAGTTATATTTTTTATGAGAGCTGAAGCCCTGAAAAGTGATTGAGCCTAACATATTATATAGGATTGTTTTTAATGAAGAAGTTAACTATTGAAATGGTAATGTTTCAGGTGGTCTGTGGTCTGCAGTGTTTTGACTATTAATAAAATATTGGGTTGGCCAAAAAGTTTGTGTGGGTTTTTCTGTAACATCTTATAGAAAAACCCAAACGAACTTTTTGGCCAACCCAATAGGTTATCTAACACCTCGCTACTCAAAAATATGTGGTTCCCAGATCAGCAGCATTCACATCACTGGGAGCCAATTAGAAATGGAGAATTTTAGGGTTCACACCAGAGCCACTGAATCAGAATCTGCATTTTGGGAAGATCCTCTGATGATTTATTAAGCACGTTGAAGTTCTGACCCAAAGCATGTTTTTAGGGGCTTGAGCCAGTGTCTTGAGATGTATTAGCAGCCCTATAAGCCTTACTTTTATATAACTAATCTGCTGCCCTTTTGGTTGGTCCCTTTTTACCATGTTTTCTGGGATTCCTAATAGATAGTTCTTCACAGTTTAATATTTATTATGCTCCTATGATATTGTCAGGCATTGGATTATAGAAATGTAGAAGGTATGATCTCTGCTCTTAGGCAGTGTAACAATAACATCCTGTTCTGATAAGGAAGTCAATTTACTATCATTTTCTATCTCCTTGTAAATCACAATTCTTCAGGGAATTTAAAATAGTTCCTGCTAAAAAGTTAGATACCACTGTTCTAGAACTTTCATAAAAGCATGGTGTATGATAATGGATTGTTTTAAATAAGGAATGGATAAATGGCTATGTAGGTTTATAAATTAAAAGCCAGAAAAATAGCAAAGAGGCACAATGTTTATACAGAGAGTTTTTCCTGAGTTCTAAAAGATCTTTGCAGAAATAAATGGAAAATCCTTAATTTTTGTTGAGTTTAAGAAATTGTTTTAATTTAAGCTTAATTTAAATTACTTAGGGTGAACACTTTGGAACTACGGAAGCCACAGAAGCCTTCTTTGCAATGACTCGATTGTTTCAATCTAATGATGTAAGTCTTTTTTTTTTTTTAATTCTTTTAGGCTAAAAAAAAGCTCCTTTTATCTGTTTTCCTTGGGGGAACTTAGAGTGCTCCAAATTAGGGAAAGTTGCTTGAAATGTTTAAAATTACTTAAAAATTTTCTCTTCATAAAATTTATAAATGTTCATTAAAGGACATATGGAAATGAAAGAATGAAAGTATATAGTTCAAAGCTGTTCACTCACAGATCTACCGTGCAGTCATAAAGACTGCTAATATCCAGCTTCTGGCGTGACACTGCGAAGGTGGACTGGTATAGAAGTCAGAGGACATAGCTATCACATCTCTAAGTTCTTAGTCAAGTTTCTGGTGGGCCTGGGGTTGCTGTTGGCAGATGAGAAGAAGAGCTGGATGCAGAGTGGGGAAAGGGACATGGAGTAGGGAAGAAGAAGAGTGAGGACAAACTAAAGCTGCCAGCACCTCTGCATCTGCCTCTCATTACCTTTGACCACCCTGACTGTCAAGCATAATGTGTGCTTCACTTCTGTCTTCCAAATGTGGCACATATTTCCTTTTTGCCCAGCTCTGACTCAGAATCATCAGAGAAAGGGATTGTGGGATCTGTATTTCCCAGCTTTCTGTTAACATAAATTGGCCAAATTGTGCAGTTCTTTTGGTATGTATTGCATATCATCACAGGCCACATTTTGTGCCTGACCCAGAGGATTTTATAGGATTTGAGTCTGGTTATGTGTCTAGATAGTGAGCAGTTTGGGGATTAGGTCCTCAGGAACATCGGTGTCCCATGTAAGGCAACTATCTCAGGGAAAGTCAGTGCACATTCTTCAGGCAAATGGAGCCTAATTTCCTCAGACAGGGTATGAGGGACTGCTTCTGCTTGCCCAGGAGGCTTGGAGGAATTTAGAGGTTCAAGGTACTTCACTTCATCAGAATCTGCCCATATGTCCCCATTCCAATTTTCAGGGCCCCTCTCCTTGCCAATCATGGTCCTAACTTTAAGATAAAATGGCTCACAAGGGGGTAAATTGAATTTGCATTGTAATTCAGTCAGCTGCAGGATATACTTTTCAGAAATCTCAGCCCTGTGTCCACATGGCATGAGGCTTTTTATTAAGGCATTATGGACGTTTTCTAGTCCCTGACATAGACCTTAAGCTGTGAATTCAAAACTCCGAGCTTAGCATTTTCTTTTACCTAGTTTGCCAGTGTACTTAGAAGGAACTAGCCCATTATACAACTCATTTTTACAAGAATGTTCTATGGCAGCAACTAGTTGATTACCCAAACCTTTGTCTTCTATAGTCCTTGATTATACTTGTCTGCAGGTGATGATTTAAGTATTTTGCCACGGCATGCCATGGATGACTAGTGTCCCCTTTACCACTGGAGACAGGGTCATTAATTCCTTTTATCAAGTCAGAAAAGCAATTTCAGATTCCTATCCTTAAGGCCCTATTTCCCTTTAATCACTTCCTGTACCAAAATTTGGGGTTCAATCAGGGAAGCAGAATTGCTGTGTTCATTATTGAATTATTTATTGGAGGAATTAAACTAGAAAACGAGGCATTTCAAGCTGCTGGAGAGTGGGGTCACGGAGAGGGACTATCATAAAAGTTGTGGAAGGCTGCTTCACATGTCTTGTGGTAGGCCAGAGGCTGTCGCTGCTCACAGGGCTGGCAGTTGGGAAGAAGAGCTGGACATGGAGCAGGGAAGAGGATGCAGAGCAGGGAAGAAATAGCGTGAGGACAAACTCGAAGCTTCTAGCACAGAGGTTGTATTAAGAGAAGAAGACATGAAGTAGTTTTCTAGGAAATGGATTGGGGAAATGTAGGATTGTTGGACAGGACGCATGGCCCCTTCAAGTTAGTGGTCATGAATTAAAGTATTCCCAGGTAGCATGGTGAATGTTTTTCTCCAGCTACAGGCTTCAGGTTAAGGCATAGAACAGTTAAAGGTGGGATTTAATCAAGATTGGGGTTTTGCCATGTTAGTAAGCAGAGGGAGGAACAAAGAAATTGAGTGAAATATTGACTGTGGAGTCTGTGCTTGGTTAGGAGGCAAGTAAGAACGGGGGCTGATTGGGACAGTGAAGAGTTGATGGAATCAATGGATTGTAGGTCATGATGGAGCGAAAGAGTTGAGTCAGGAGTGGTGGTTGGAGAGTGAATGCTTGGAAATGAAATACAAAAGGGGTACTGTTATTGAGTAATGACCAGGATATTTTATTTTTTTTTGTAGTGACTGAGGTTTAGTAACCATGTACAGCATGATGTGATTTGTTTTGATGGTCCCTTAGGCAGAGTATGGAATTGAGGATATGAATTTTTGTGGGGAAGATGAGGGGGTTTTGCCAGTGGCATGTGGAACTCCTTCCTTTCCCAGCCTTCCTTTACCAGAGGGTAATAATTATTTTGAGATTGGTATCCTCCTATGTTTATATATTATATCTGTTTGTATCCATAATATATACTTAGTATTTTTGTGTTTTAAAATATAATCTGAATGATGTCATCTTGATATTATTTTGCAATTTAAAAAAATTAATGTTTTTGAGACCTGCCCACTTGCTACAAGTACTTTTACTTTATTCTATTTTACTGCTGTATGGAATCCCAGTGTGTGAATATACAGTATTCTTATTTATTTATCCATTCTCCCATTGGTAGATCTATAAGTTGCTTCTACTTTTTCGCTATTACAAATGACATTACACATAATGTTTATGTACATGTCTTCTTGTGCACATAGAGAATTTTTCTGGGGTAGATACCTCTAAGTGGAATTTCTAGGTAATGCTATTTATATGATCTTGCCAAATTGATCTTAAAGGGTTGTACTAATTTACACTGATTTGCTTCCAAATCCTTACCTGCTCCAAATAATAATTTCTATTATCTGATCTAAATATTTGCCATTCACAAGAAGGTGCTATGGCATCTCTTTGTGGTTTTAATTTGCATTGCCATATCACTGCCGAAATTGAAACTCTTTTCATATAGTTAATGGCCATTTTACTTTCCTCCTCTGTGAATATCTGTTTATATTCTTTGCTTATTTATATTCCATCTATTGATTTATAGGTTTAAAACTTTATTTTAGCCTTTAAAAAATCTGCTTTGTTTTTTTAATTTTAAAAATCAGCTTAAATATACAATAAAATTCACCAATTAAGTGTACAGTTGTGTTTTGACCAGTGTATAGAGTCATGGAACAATTACCACAGTCATGATATGGAAACTTCATCACCCCAGAATGTGCCCCCATATTTCTTAGTTGTCTGTCTCCTCCCTCAACCCCTAGCACCTGGCAATCACTGATTTACTTCCTGACAACATAGTTTTGCATTTTCTAGAATTTCATTTAGATTTAATCATATAGTATATAGTCATTTATGACTTTTATGTCTTGTTTCTTTCCCTTAGCTTTTGAGATTGATCCAAGTTTTTGTATGTATCAGTAGTTTGTTCATTTTTATTGCTGAGTAGTATTCCACTGTATGGAGGTAGTCTTTATTTATCAATTCACAAGTTAATGGATATTTGGGTTGTTTCCAGTTTACAGATATTATAAACAAAGCTGCTAAAAATATTCAAGTACAAGTCTTTGTGTGGACCTATGTTTTCATTTTCTTTGGTTAGTGTCTAGAAGTGGCATTCTTGGGTTTGCATTTCCTGAATGATGAAAGTATTAAGCATGTATTAAGCAAATATATGCTTATCTGCCATCCGTTTATCTTCTTTGGTGAAGTGTCTGTTGAAATCTTTTACCTTTTTTTTTTTTTTTAAAAATCAGGTTGTTTATCTTCTGCTTATTGAGTTGTAGGTGTTCTTTTTATTTTCTGAATACAAGACCATCATCAGATAGGTGTTTTGTAAATATTTTCTCCTTCCCAGATCCCAGTCTGTGGCTTGCCTTTTCATTCACTCACCACTGCATTCTTTTTCTTTTTTTTTTTAAGTATAATATACAAATGGTAAAATTCACCCTTTTTAGGGTATAGTTTTATGAGTTTTGACAAATGCATACAGTAGTATTATCACTGCAGTCAAGATTTAGAACATTTCCACCACTCCAAAAAGTTCCCTACTATATGATCTATTCCTCGCATCCTCAGGCCCAGGAAACCAGTAACCTCTTTTCTTTCCTTATAGTTTTGCCTTTCCAGGAAGTCATAAGAATGATATCATACTATATGAAGCCTTTTGAGTCTTCTTTTCAGGCACTTAGCATAATTCATTTGAGATTTGTCCATGTTATTTTTTGTGTCAGTTTACTCCTTTTTATTTCATTGTAGTAATTTGTTGTATGGATGTACCTCAGTTTATTTGTTCATTAGCTGAAGAGCATTTGGTTTGTTACCATTTTTTGGTGGTTATGAATAATGTTGCTATAAACATTCATGTATAAGTTTTTAAATGTAAGTTTTTATTTCTCTTGAGTAAATACCTGGGAGTGGAATTGCTGGGTCATATGATAGGTGTATATATGTTTAACTTGGTAAGAAACTGCCAGCCCATTTTCCAAAGTGACAGTACCATTCCCCACATTACTGTATGAAGCTTCTAGTAGCTCTGCATTCTAGCCAGCACTTGGTATTATATGTTTTTTGTTTGTTTGTTTGTTTTTTAATTTTAGTCATTCTAATACGTATGTAGTAGTATCTCTTTGTAGTTTTAATTTGCATTTTCCTAATGACTAATCTCAAAATCTTTTTATGTGCTTTTGTTGCCTTCTATATATCTTCCATGATGAAGGATCTGTTCATATCTTTTGCCCAATTTTAATAATTTGGTTGTATATTTCCTTATTATTGAGTTTTGAAGGTCTCAATGTATTCTGGATAGAAGTTGTTTATCAGATGTTTCCCAAATGTTTTCTCCTAGTCTGTGTCTTGTTTTTTCACTTTCTTAGTCTTTAACAGAGCAGAAGTTTTAAGTTTTGATGAAGTCCAGTTTATCATGTTTTTTTTTCCTGTTATGGATTGTGTTTTTGATGTGTATTATAGAAATCTTTGCCTAACCCAAGGTCACAGAGATTCTCCTATGCTTTTTCCCTAGGCATTTTGTAGTTTTTGTGTCTTAAATTGCTTTATGATCATTTTGAGTTAATTTTTCTACATGATATAAAGTGAGGGTTGAATTTCTTTTCATCTCCTTCCTCTTCCTCCACCACTCCCTCCTTTTCCTCCTCCTTTCTTTTCTCATCAAATTCTACTGGAATAATTGCATACCAATATGGAGGGAGGAGGAGGAGGAAGAAATAATGATGATTGCGTTACAGTGGCACATTGGAACATTCTATTTTTTTTCATTGATATATATATCTATTCTTATTCCAGTATCACACTGTCTTGATTACTGTCGCTTTATAGTAAGTTTTAAATCAGGTCGTGCATGTTTTCCTATTTTATTATTATTTTTTTCTTTTTCAAAGTTGTTTTGGCTCTTCTAAGTTCTTTGCATTCCTCTATGCATTTTAGAATCAACCTGTCCATTTCTATTAAAAAGGCCTGCTGGAATGTTGATGGTGATTGCATTGACTCTAAAGATCAATATGTTCAACTATACTTCAAGAAAATTTTTAAAAAAATGATCAATTTGAGGAGAATTGACATTATAACATTATTGAGTTTTCTACTCCATAGACATGGTATATATTTCCCTTTATTCAGGTCTCTAGTTTCTGTCAGCAGTATTGTAGCTTTCAGCATACAAGTCTTATACATATTTTGTGAACTTTATCCCTGAAGCAGTTAACATTTTTTATACTATTGCATTTGTATTGTTTGTAGGTAGTCTATAGAGATTAAATTGATTTTTGTATATTGACCTGTTTCCTGTGATCTTGTTAAATTTATTTATTACTTCTAAGAGTATTTTGGGAGATTCCTTAGGATTTACTTTTTTCAGTCTGTATGCTTTTTTTTTTTTTTTTTTCCGGTACGCGGGCCTCTCACTGTTGTGGCCTCTCCCGTTGCGGAGCACAGGCTCCGGACGCGCAGGCTCAGCAGCCATGGCTCACGGGCCCAGCTGCTCCGTGGCATGTGGGATCCTCCTGGACCAGGGCATGAACCCATGTCCCCTGCAGCGGCAGGTGGACTCTCAACCACTGTGCCACCAGGGAAGCCCTGTATGCTTTTTATTTGTTTATCTTACCTTTTTGTCTTCTTGCACTATTGTATAGTGTGAATAGAAGTGATGGTAGAGGACATCCTTGCTTTGTTCCTGATCTTAGAGGAAGGGTATTTAATCTTTCGCCATTGAATGTGATGCTGGCTCCAAGTTTTTCATAAGTGACCTTTATCAGGTTGAGGAATTTCCTTTCTGTTCCTAGTTTGCTGGGAGACTTTTTTTTTTTTTCCATAAATGGGTATTGAATTTGGTCAAATGTCTTTTCTATATCCATTGAATTATTGTGGTTTTCCTTTTTTAGTATATTAATATGGTGAGATGCATTTATTTTCCTGGAAAATATAAAATCTTTGTTTTCTGTTTGTTAAAATTTGTTATGGATTTTGAGTCTGTGGTCATGAAATATATTTATGTATAGTTTTTTCTTTGGTATTGTATTTGGGTAATGTTGGCTTCGTAAAATGAATTGAGAAGTGGTTCTTCCTCTTCTGCTCTCTGGAAGAGTTTTTCTAGAATCATCATTAATTTTTCCTAAAATGTTTGATGGAGTTCACTATTGAAACCATCTTCATTGTAGGAAGGTTTTTGATAATTAACTACTTTAAAAGGAAATAGATATGCTGCTATTCAGATTATTTGTCTTTTTTTTTTTTTTTTTTTTTTTTTTTTTTTGCGGTACGCGGGCCTCTTGCTGTTGTGGCCTCTCCCGTTGCGGGGCACAGGCTCAGCGGCCATGGCTCACGGGCCTAGCTGCTCCACGGCATGTGGGATCTTCCCAGACCGGGGCATGAACCCGTGTCCCCTGCATCGGCAGATGGACTCTCAACCACTGCGCCACCAGGGAAGCCCTATCTTGCTGTTTTAATTTGCCTTTCCCTGATGACATATAATGAGGAGCATCTTCTCATATACTTATTTGCCTTCTGTTTTTCTTCTTAAGTGAGGTATCTGTTAAGGTCTTTGGCCCATTTTAAAATTAGGTTGTTTTTCTTATTTTTGACTTTTAAGAGGTTTTTCTGTTTTTTGGGGGGTTTTTTTTGAGTGTATTTTGGATAACAGTCCTTTCTCAGTTATGTATTCTGTAAATATTTTTCCCAGTCTGTGTTATCTTCTCATCCTCTTGACATTGTCTTTTGCAGAGCAGAAGTTTTTAATTGTAATAAAGGCTGACTTATCAATTATTTCTTTCATGGATGATGCCTTTGGTGTTGTATCTAAAAAGTCATCACCATACTCAACATCATCTAGGTTTTCTTCTAGGAATTTTATAGTTTTGCATTTTACAGTTAGGTCTGTGGTCGATTTTGAGTTAATTTTTGTGAAGAGTGTAAGGTCTGCATCTAGATTCATCTTTTTGGCATGCGGATATCCAGTTGTTCTGGCACCATTTGTTGAGGAGACTATCTTTACTCCATTGTATTGCCTTTGCTCCTTTGTCAAAGATCAGTTTACTATATTTATGTGGGTATATTTCTGGGTTGTCTTTTCTGTTCCATTGATAAATTTGTCCATTCTTACGCCAATACCATTCTGTCTTGTTAGTGTTTACTGCTTTCTTTTTTTTTTTTACTCTTCATTCCTTACTGTATTTCTGAGTTATTATCTAGAATAATTTTCCCTGTGCCTGAAGAATATACCTTCTAGAATCCCATCTTTTGTAGACTTTAGATACTTTATCCTATGCAAGACCCTGGGCTTATACTTCTGTGGCTATGAGTTGTGTGTTTTTCCATTTTTGGCACCTGTGAATTTCCCTTCATTTTCCCTTGGCTGTGTATTAAAATTTTTTTGTTCCTGTTTTATTCAGCATTTCTGTGTATTTGTTTAGGCAGTATAGTTGTTAAAAACACATCTTTGTTAACACTACATTGTCACTCTTTAATTTTAGCCAATTTGGTGGGTGTGAGGTGGTATATGAAATATGGTTTTAATTTGTATTTCCCCAGTGACTAACAGTGTTGAGCCTCCATTTTTTGTGCTTTAGCTAAATTTTTTTGCATCTCCAGTTTTATTCTGCTTCATGGTAGATTTTTTCTTGGCGGGGGGAGTGTAAATTTTCTTCTGCTCTGAAGTTTTGATTGTCATTTTTTTTGCTTTCTTCTCAGAGTAGCTTCATATGGATGTGATATGCCTCATTATCTGCCCCCATGCTGCCTTTCTCATTCTGGGGTGATTTTTTTCTGTGTTTAATCACCATGAGAATCCTCACTTTGTTCTACCTGTTCCTTAATGGGCTCAGTAGTCTCCAACAGATCCTTTGTACAGCTTGGACTCTGGAGCTGGGTCTGATGTATTTGAGTTTCACTACTTATAAGAAATTTGAAGTTACTTGGCAGAGAATGAGGCTAGACAGGCTAGAGGAACCAAGGCTTTGAGCATTGAGTATGAGTGTTTATGAATAAAATCAGAGATCCAGGTGAGGAGAAAGGGTGGGCGAAAGTTTATTTAACACTTCTTTTGGATCCAGGTATCCATCTAGAAATCTTGATAATTGAAAATAGTAGTTGTACAACCACAAATACCTTAAGAAAAAATATGCTGAACTGAGGAAAACACAGAGTCTGCATGTCTCTCTGTATATATTTTTAAAGAATTTAAAAAATACATTTTCTAGGACAAGCCTTTAGCACTTTGAAAAACCTGTCTTTGGACTCACATTGTCACAGTCACAGTTTGGGTCCTTCTGTATAAAGATCCATGTAATTAACTGAATTTTTGAATTTTCATCTAGGTGTCTTCTACTGTTAGTGCATCAATTACTTGTGTTTAGGAAATACTAGAATTTTGAATATTTTCTCATCCAGGCCTTTTTTTTTTTTTTTTTTGCGGTACACGGGCCTCTCACTGTTATGGCCTCTCCCGTTGCGGAGCACAGGCTCTGGACGCACAGGCTCAGCGGCCATGGCTCACGGGCCTAGCCGCTCCGTGGCATGTGGGATCTTCCCGGACTGGGGCACGAACCCGTGTCCCCTGCATCGGCAGGCAGACTCTCAACCTCTGCGCCACCAGGGAAGCCCGAGAATCTTTTTAAGAATAGCTTTCTAAATATATTTACTTGGGCTCCTCACTTCAAACAGTTTAAAAAACCATTTCCTTATGAATAACCTTTTGCCTTTTATAAATAATTTTTCAGCAAACATTGAGAAGAATGTGCTACCTTACTATCAAAGAAATGGCTACCATCTCTGAGGATGTCATAATTGTGACAAGCAGGTATGTGAATAGTTAAAACCTACGATGTGATACTTATATATTTAGTGGAGTATTTGTTGTTCTCTTTCTGTTAATTTTACTTTTTGACTGTAAGAAAGCCAGTAGGAATTGAAAAGAACATAATGTCTTAAAGCATTCTTTTCTAAAATGTGGTTGTCATGTGAAAACCATCTCTGTTTAATAAAGCTGAGAAAGAAGTCACAAAGGATAATACTAATAGATTTGATTACATTTTAAAATGTCATAAAAATATATAAACAAAACTAAAAAGTAAATGATACATTGAAATAAAATATTTATTTATTAAAAAAATTTATTTTATATTATAGTTGATTTATGAAAAAAATATAACAAGTACATCAAAAGGCTAACATCTATAATGTATAAAGAACTCTTATACGTCAAAAAAACTCCAAGTGATACTTCATAAAATAATCAATATAAAGGATCTAAATATCTTTAGTCATTCTCACTAGTAACCAAAAAATGTAATTAAAAATTCAAGAATGAGTTACAATATTTTTTTGTTTTGTTTTTTGTGCTTTTTAAATTCAATTTATTTAAACTAAAAAAAAAAGCAAACCCCAAAACAGCTCCCCCATTTCTCCCACTCCCCCAGTCCCTGCCTCTGGGAAACCACTAATCTGATCTCTGTATCTCTGTATCTATGAGCCTGGTTTTATGTATTTATTTATTTATTTAGATTCCACATATAAAAGAGATCATATGGTATTTGTCTCTCTCTGTCCGACTTATTTCACTTAGCATAATGCTCTCAAGGTCCGTACATGTTGTCACAAATGTCAAGATTTCATTCTTTTTTAATGGCCGAATAATATTCCAATGCATATATGTACCCCAATTTCTTTATCCATTCATCTGTTGATGGACACTTAGGTTGTTTCCATATCTTGGCTAATGTAAATAATGCTGCAGTGAACATGGGAGTGCATATATCTTTTTGAATTAATGTTTTCTTCAGATAAATACCCAGAAATGGAATTGCTGGATCACATGGTAGTTCTATTTTAATATTTTGAGGAACCTCCATACTGTTTTCCATAGTGGCTGTACCATTTTACATTCCCACCAACAGTGCAGAGGGTTCCCTTTTCTTCATGTCCTAAACAACACTTGCTGCTTCTATCTTTTTGATAGTAGCCATTCTAACAGGTGTGAGGTGATAGCTCATTGTGATTTTGATTTACATTTTCCTGATGATTAATGATGTAGAGCATCTTCTCATGTACTTGTTGGCCATCTGTATGTCTTCTTTGGAAAAATGTCTGTTCACATCTGCCCATTTTCAATCAGATTGTTTGGTTTTTTTTGCTATTGAGTTTATGAGTTCTTTATAAATTTTGAAAAATTATAATATTTTGCCAGTCAAATTGGCAAAAAAGAAAAAAGGCAGTCAGTACTTGTAAGGGATATTGATATTCTTGTATACAGGAGGTAGAATAATAAATTGATTCAGTTTTCTTAGAAAGCAGCGTAGCAGCATTTGTTGAATGTTTGAAAGGGTTTATCCCTTTGATCCAGTAATTCCACATCTATGGAATTATCCGCAGAAAACAATCAGAGATAGCATAGAAATATTTATATACAATGATGCTTATTGCAACACTGTTTACACTAGCAAAAAGGAAAAAACAACTTGAATGTCTGACATTGTTAAAAATGATCTAATTAATCATGTTTTAGTCATATTATGAAATATTTTAATTTTTTGAATATATTTTTGAGACATCTTTAATGATATGGAAAAGTCTTCAATAAAGTGCTAAATGAAAGTTGGATTCAAGTCTGTGTATTCCCTGTAGTCTCTTTTAAAAATATTCTAAGTATGTATATAAAAATATATGATTGGATATACACTGATATATTACCAGTAAGTTATCTCTGGGTGTTTGGAATTGTGGCTATTTATTTTCTTTAAACTTTTGATAATTTCCAAATGTCCTAGAATGAGTATGTATAATTCAGAGTCCTAAGATATATAACAAATGTTATTTAGAAAATAGTTATTAACAGTTATTAATATATAGTTGTAGTTAATAGTTACTAATTATAACTCATTCAAGTGAATCTGGTATTTGTACAAGAAAATAAGTTTTGGAGGAGGGTACTTATGTTTAACCAGCAGTTGTGTTGAATGTAGTTTCATAATATTAGTAAAGCTTTCAGCTGAAAATAACACAAAGCCAGAATTAAATAGTAACAAACAAAATAAGCACAGAGTAGCTGGTGTTGGTTCAGTAGTTCAATAGTGTCAGGGCTGGTGTCTCTTAAATTCTTTGGGACATCCTCACATTATTGCAAAATAAGATGCCTGGATTACTGGCAGTGCACCATTCAAGGTGGGAGGGGTACCGAGAAGGGGGCCAGAGAGAGCCAGCGCTGTCTGCCCCTTTTATCAGGTATGCAGAAGCTTTTCCCAAGGCAATTTTTAGATTTTATTTGGCACAACTGCGTTATGACTAACCTTAGGAGGCCAGGAAAGTGAGTATATAGCTTTTATAGCCCAAGGGGCAGGCTTGGGAGAAGGGAGGGGATTAAAAATGGGTATTGGATTAGTCAGCTAACAGTGTGTGGCACAAATACAAAACAAAAAAATCTTCACTTAGATTGCTAGATTCACTAAATATTGGAAAAATTAAAAATAGATCAATCAACTGTTGATTGAGGGTGTTTCGTTCCTTTGTTTAGCTGTTAATACTTCCATCTGAGTCCTGTTAGGCCGCTTTGAATCATGGCTTGCTTCTCGTTCGTTTTAAGTAATTAGTAGATGTAGTAGGCAGAATAATGCCCCCTCCACCCCCAAGATATCCCTGTCCTAATTCCTAGAACCTGTGAATATGTTACATTACATGGCAAAGGGGAATTAAAGTTGCTAATCAGCAGATAGGGAGAGTATCCTGGATTATCCAGGTGGGCCCAATATAAGGATAAGGGTCCTTAAAAGTAGAAGAGGGAGGCAGAAGAAAAGGGTCGGTAAAGAGATGTGATGATGGAAGCCGGTTCAGAGGGATGCACTGTTGTTGCTGGATTTGGAGATGGTGGAAGGGAGCCATAAGCCAAGGAATATGGGTGATGTCTGGAAGCTGGAAAAGGCAAGGAAATGGATTTACTCCTACAGCCTCCAGAAAGGAATGCCTTGCTGCTGACACCTTGATTTTAGCCCAGTGAGACCTGTGTTGGACCTCACCTTACAGAACTGTAAGGTAAATAAATGAATGTTGTCTTAAGCCTGTAAGTCTGTGGTAATTTGTTACAGTGGCAATAGAAAACTAACAGATTTTTGCAGTATTTAAGTGTATCAAATCAATACATTGTATACCGTACAGTTACACAATGTTATATGTCACTTATATCTCAAAACTAGAAAAAAAACCTAATAGAGACTTTGGTACCTGCAAGTGGGTGCTGCTGTAACAAATACCTAAAAATGTGGAAGTGGCTTTGTCATTGGGCAGTGAGCAGGTGCTGGAAGAGTTTTGGGGAACATGATAGAAAAAGCCTACACTGCCTTGAACAAACTGGTAGAAATATGGGCGTTAATGACTCTACTAGACTTGGAAATGAAGAGCAGGATAGAGAAAACATTTATCATACAGCATTGTGAACAGACTGTTGATAGAAACATGGACATTAAAGGTGTTGCTGGTGAGGGCTCAGAAGAAAATGAGGAAGGTATTAGAAACTGGAGGGAAGGGGATTCTTGTTATATTGTGGCAGAAAGCTTAGTGGCATTGTATCCTGCAGTTAGGTGGAAAGCAGGGCTTGTAAGCAATGAATTTGGATATTTAACTGAGATTTCCAAGCAGAATGTTGAGGTGTGGCCTGGTTTCTTTTTGCCACTTGTAGTAAAATTTGAGAGTAGGGTAATAAATTGAGGAGAGACCTGTTAAACATGAACCAGGAGATCTTGATAAATACCAAATCGTTATGTTGTGCACCTGAAACTAATATAATGTTGTATGTCAATTACATCTCAAAAACAAAACAAAAATAAACCAGGAGTTGTTGATTTTGGAAATTGTCAGCCTACCAAAATGGCAAAGGACGCTAAAATCAAGAGATGTGTGTTGGGAAAGCCTTCTCTAGAGAAAAAAATCAGAGTTACTCTACAGCCTTTTCCTGAAACCTCAGAAAGATTTAAAGGTCAGTGTATTCACTCACACAAAATACTGAGAGATGAAGGGCGTGACTCATAGATTCCCTCAGCATCTAAGCAGAAGCCAAAAATAGAGATGGGATTATCTAGGCAAGATCTGTGGAGGAGCCTCTTGTCTAGTGGAGTCTCTGTACGTATATGGTAGTCCCACAAGGCTCTTGAGAATCTTATACCAGCAGAAACACTGCCAGCTTGGACTGAAAGGAACAGAGAGGTGAAGTGAAAGAAGGCTATCAGAGCCCCAAAATTCTACAGGCAGGAGACAGGCTGATAAGACTCCTCAGCTTTAAACACAAGCTGCCCTTTATAAAAAGGAAGGATGGCTCAGAGGGCGGAGGCCCATAATGTAGAGTTGAGAACCATAGTGAATTCTGCCATGACTTGAAACCTCTTTCAGTTTGCCTGGCTGGATTTCAGAATTGCTCGGGAACAGTAACTCTTTTTTATCCTTCCATTTTCTCTTTTTGAACAGGAACGTCTGTATGTGTTATCCTATGGCAGTCCCATCTTTGTTTTTCAGAGCAGGGAACTTGTTTTTTAGTTTCACATGTCCATGCATGGAGAGGAATTTTGCCTCAGGATAAATTATACCCAATCTCACCCATCCCTGATTTAGATGATTTTTGATGATAAGATTGGGACTTTTGAGTTGGGTGAGATTTTGGAGTTTTTTTTTTTTTGACTGGCACCGCATGGCACGTGGGATCTTAGCTCCCCAACCAGGGATTGAACCTGTGCCCCCTGCATTGGAAGATGGAGTCTTAACCACTGGACTGCCAGGGAAGTCCTGAGATTTTGGACTTTGAGTTGATGCTACAATGTG